ATTTTTAATTTTATATTTATTTGAGATTGAGTTGTTGAAATGTTATTTAATGGTGTAGATTTTATTTTTCTAATAAAAAAATATGATCATTTTTAAAATAATTATTTTATATAATAAAAATTATATTAAAATACATTTATATTGTTTTGATCATTAAAATAAAGATGACCTCTAGCAGGAACAGAACATAAAACTTGAGTTTGTCTTATCTCACTTTTACATATAAGTAGAATATTTTTCATATTTTAAATGTTTTATCTGAGAATCTTTGGTATGTTTTGGTTTTATCAGCTGAAATCTGTGTCGTAAAAAGACAAACCAGATGATCTGATGCTCTAAACCAGGGGTCCCCAAACTTTTTCCTGCGAGGGCCACATAGCTGTTCCTTTCTGTGGTCGGGGGCCGGTCTTAGTTTTTGCAGTAAAAAAAAACAAAGAAATTCTTGTCGACGGGACGACGACGACACTTTTGGATAGATTTTTACCCAGAATGCAAATGGAAAAAACCGTGAGTGAAACGGTGACTGACTATTATATATTCCATTGAGGGAAAGTAAGTTTCACATTTGCTCAAAAGCCCCCTGGTGGTTGAAGAAAAATCCACATATAAACCGGAAAATACAATATATGAAAAAAAACACTGAATGCTCTCTGGTATGAGCAGGCGGGCCGGATCCGGCATTGTTCAGGGGGCCGGACCAAATGACGTGGCGGGCCGGATCCGGCCCGCGGGCCGTAGTTTGGGGACCCCTGCTCTAAACATTCAACATTTTGCATTTTTCTGTTTAAAAGAACAATTTTGATGTTTGTGACTCAACAACTCAAACTGATGTAGTTCAGCAGAAGACTGCTTTGTTTTGATTGTTTCTGCTGTGAACCATCAGGACAACGTTTATGACGGGCTTTTATTCTGAAAAGGGAAGCGCATCAGGTTTGGTGGTCATATTGTGTGTCTTTCAAGCAGATGTTGGTTTTCCCCTGGAAATCGCATCAGCTTCCTTCTCCACGCATTACAGGTGAAGTTACCTGTTTACACCTGAATGGATGCTGCAGCGGGAACAGGATGACAGACAAACACGTTAACGTGCCGCGAAACCGGAAGTTCCTTCATGTCCGATGATTGGAGGGAAGATAGAGCTCAGAAATGTGAGCAATATTCATCCATCCATTTATCTGTTCATCCACCTATCTATTCATTCACTCAACTATCCATTCATCCATCCATTTATCTGTTTGTCCATCCATCCATCCATCCATCCATCCATCCATCCATCCATCCATGCATCCATCCATCCATCCATGCATCCATCCATCCATCCATCCATCCATCCATCCATCCATCCATCCATCCATCCATCCATCCCTCTCAGGTGAATAAATCACTCTGATCTCCCAGTCACTTCAGAACTTGTTGATCATTTCTAAGCATTTTTTCCTGTTTCATCCTCAGATGTTTTCCCTCATTCTATCTCCTCCCCACTTCCCAGTCCCCCAGTCCAGTTCTCCCAGAGCTTCACTATGTCCCAGTCCCCCAGCCCAGTTCCCCCATCTTCTCCCCAACACTCAGGTTCATCCACTACCTTGAAACGGAGGACAAAACTCTGCATGAAGAGACTGAACGGTTTGATGAGGAGAGGCTCAGACAGCCAGACGATCAATCAGGTTTATCAGCATTTCAGCAACAAGGCAGTTCAAAGTTCTTTACTTCATAAAAACACCAATACAATAGAAACACAGTCAACAACTGAAGCATTATGTTCTGTAAAATCCCATCGTTACATCAGAATGTTGATTAATGTTTCATTTATTATGTTTCAAAAGCAACTCTAAGCAATGTATGTTGTCGACCTCTCAATACATTTTGCTGGATGATAAATTGTTCCAGAACGTTTCATGAACACAGATAGTTCAGCTGACCTGTTGTGTCTCTGCTCTGTCTTCTCCCAGGTCCAGCCGGTCGTGGCAGATGGCTGCTGGTTCTGAACCTGGTTCTGGTTCTGCTGGAGCTTTCTTCCTGTTAGAGACGAGATCTTCCTCTCCGCTGTTGCTACATGCATGCTCTGTATGAGGGATTGCTGTAAAGTCAACAACTCAACACGAGCAATTTCTTACTTTTTACTCCTTATATTTTCACACATACCTTGTTACTTCCATGATGAACAAAATAATAAAAAAAAAATCCACAGCTTCCACAAAAAGTGTATCAGTGTTGGTAGTTCATCATTCAGTTGTTGAAGTTGAGACACATCTAAAAGTTGCAGGAGGCCCTCCAGGCCTGGAGTTGCCCCCCCCTGACCTAGACCACATCAGTATTTTTTATGTCTATACTAACAGTGCATGTTGTCAGCAAAAGAATAAGAAATTAAGTATTTTATGCTCATGTGGCCGATGTGGTTCTGGTGGCTTCTATCCTGAACCATTTTAACTATGTTACACTCATCAAAAGTCATTTTGTATTCATAAAAGTGAACATTGCTTTTTACTTTTTGTACATTTCAAAACTTTTACTTTTTTACTTTCACTTGAGTAAAACAGTTCAACCTGTACTTTTACTTTTACTATAATATTTTTTTCATACAAGTATCTGTACTACTTAAGTAGAGAATGTGAGTATGTTCGATACTTCCGGACGTTTAGTTTGGGGGAAGGTGGAAGTGAGATCATGGTCAGATCTAAAGGTCCAAGTCCTTCAAGAAGAAGATTGTAGCAAATCATCAGTGTGAAAAGATATTTAAAGATACTTCAGAAAGTTTAAACTCATCCATTTATACTGTGTGAAAAATGTTCTACCAAACTACTGTCTGACTAATTCAGTTCATCCTAAAATCAGGCTGCAAGACACTTAAAGAAGTCATCAAGCCTTAAGGTGCCGTGACAGAAGCTGATCTTGATAAGAAAGTCAAAAGCTGACGGGAAAGATTATAGGAGATTTACAAGAAGGAAATGTTTCTTCTTAAAGAAAAACAGACTGAAGTCTGCCTGTAACCAGGCTGTTTGGACAGGAGAAAACAGAATTATTTGAACAACAGGACAAAGGAGATTAGGCATAAATCAAACACAGAAAAATAACCTCATACCAACAACATAGCATGAAAGACCCAACACCTAAAAACCAGAAAAACCAAACCTTACCCAGAAACAGAAAATAACCTGGAAGGACAGCATCATTAAACCAGAATACAATTCAACCATTGTTATGGGAAGCCATGAGAAAACTCAGGGACAAACATTGCTACCAACCGCTTGATGACTCCATCTGGAATCACAAATCTTACTCAATAACTTACTTAAAATTCCCAATGAACCAAAAACAAGTCCAATACCTAACAGATGCCCAACCACCCAGATAACACTTCTTCTGTTTACGACCCAAAATCCACAAAGAGTCAACAGAATGGGCCGCACCCTTCAGATCCCCAAAGGTAGACCCACTGTGTCAGACTGAGGCAGTGAGTCCTACAGCTCAGCGCTTCACTGGCCTCCTTCATTATTAATGCTGCCATGTATCAGAGGGAAATATCCATGAAAAAAATGAAGTCAGAACTGGACCCTGAAACACGACAGGGACCCAAAACAAACCAGCAAATCCACAAAGAACTGGAGAATCCATAGGCCTAGTCAAAGCCCCGATCTTAATACAGCTGAGGAGTTGTGTGGTGAATTGAAGCAAATGGAAACCCCTAGACATCTCACAGCTGGAGGTGAAGAATGTAAAAAATGTCCCTCGGACTTATGGCATAAAGGGACAAGAAGCGACTGAAGGTAATTCAGCCGAGAGGAAAACTCCTGCTGTGTCTCTGACATTCAAGTTCAAGTTTATTTGTACAGTGCATTTCAGCAACCAGGTAGTTCAAAGTTCTTTACATCCTAAACACATTATATGCAAAACTCTGGTGTTGTCACCTTGTCGCTGGTGTTCCTGTAGCTTCCAGTTTAAGTTCTTTATGGGACCTTGGTGGTTCCTGGGTTGGTCCGAATCATCCAGACCAGTTCCTTTCAGGGGACAGCGACAGTTTTGGCCAAATGGTTGAAACTTTGAAACAATCAGGTGTTCAAAAATACATGATTCTCAAACACACACAACAAAGCTGGAAATGGGGAAGTTAGGCTGACATTAAGCTACTTCAGTCCTGGAATGAAGACTTCTGGTCATTTTGTATCTCATCTTCTCCTCTCGTCTTTCAGAGGCATATTTCTGCTTTGTGTGGTGCAACATTACTCAGACAGGAAAAATTAATTTTCTCCATGTACTGTACACTGATAGTCAAAAAGGGTGTGGTTGTTGTAGCTGGATGTGTGAGTCTACTGATGTAGGCTGATAAACATTCCTGACACACCGGATGTCCCTGAATGCCACCAATCCGGCTCCGTTGGGTCAGAGGTCATCATCTGTTTTCAGAAAGCACTAAATCATGTGAATGAGTGCTGAGGAAGTCCTCATTCACATGGATGAATGAAATATCCATTCATCCATTTTCAGCATTGATCCCACTCATGTGATTGGACAAAGAGGACCTTGACATATAGACAATGTTGAGGTCAGTGTTTGGGACACTGAGAAATAAACTCAAAAGTATCTTAAAGCATAAAATGCAGATATATTTCTTCTCCATTTTTCATATAATCAAGAAACTTATGGACAACCCGGATCATCCTCTATATGGGAGATCCTTCCTGCCCACAGCCATCAACATCTACAATAACTCTTTGACCAACCTTAGATTATATGAATTAACAACATTTAATTTCTTTCTAGGATTAGTACAGTAGTTTTCTATTTTAATTTTCTAATTATGTTCAAGATTAATTATCTATTTTACTTTAAAACCCCAGATCTGATCAATTATTAAAGTTAAGACGACAAAATCAAGGAATTAAATCCCTTCCTCGACTGCCAGACTGTAAAGTAAAAAGTAAAAGAGGCGAGACGGGAATCATCTCAACCCCGTCGAACATCTTTGTTGAACAGTCATGTCTCGCGAGACATTCAAAATCACGTGGCTAATGGCTGGAGATCGCGGATATTAGAAGGTAGTTTTTGTGCTTTTAAATCCTTCGTTTTGGAGTAAAAATAACGAATTTGTGCAATGAAATTTAATCGGCTGATGTCATATTTGAACGGTGCGTCTCTGAAATGAATGCGTTTGCGGGGTTTTGTGGCCGCTTACGTCGACCCCGCCTGTAGAAACCGTCAAACCTTCGAAATAAGAGCTCAATGTTTTCCGCGCTTTTTATCACTGCGAAAATAGTTAGCTTTGATCTGGGAGATGATCCGGTCTGCTCAGACCCCTGCGGAGGGGAAACCTGCTCTTTACTGGATCTAACTGGGGGAAATGTTCACCTAAATAGGGGATGGGCAGAAAACCGCACGCAGAGGTCATTTAAAGAGGATGTACAGCCGCTGCTAGCATTAGCCGGAGCTAAAGGCCTCCCCAGGAAACTGGAGGGAGCTTTTATTTTCCAAAATCTGCTTCTTCAGCTCGCCTGTCTGAGCTGCAGACCTCAAGCCTTTATCTACATAATATATTAATATTCAGACTGTTGATCAACATTATGATTGTTGTTTATTGTGTCTGTTGCCTTCATTGCAGGATTCTGCAGAGAAGAGGAGGAGAAAGTGACTGAAGCTTCACTGGAAACAACACTGAGGGTGACTTTTCCTTCTGCTTTAAACTTCTCATCGTTTTCCATTCATGTTATCTCTATAGAAAAATCTATTCAGCTCAGTTTTTGACCTAAATATACTCATTACTTATTTTAAACGTCTCAAAAAGCCTGGAATAATCATTTCTAAAACAGTTGCAAGTTAATTTTTTTAAAGGAACCATTCAAAGTTTGCTGCTTGTTGGGAAATAGTAAGGCAATATTAGAAAAAAATATTTAGCTCTATGTTTTTATCTTCATTATATTATTATTCACATAATCAAACTCTTAATTATTTTCTGCTCCAGGCTGATTACAGTCTGAAAAAGCTACTAAAATAAGATAAATAAAAATAATGAAATTATATTGGGAGGGAAAACTGATTTGTTGATGTTTTTATGTATTATTAACATAATTAAAACATTAGTGGGTTACAAAATGTAATAAAATTATAAAACTAAATAGAATTTTTTTTTGTTCAATATTGAACAAAATTCCTTTTTATTGTTATTCTTATTAAATTAAATTTTAACTTTATCTTAAATGTCTCAAAAAGCCATAAATGATTTTTTTTGTTTCATTTTTAATACTTATAATTGTGATAATATTTAAGACCAATAATAATAATAATAATAGTGGTAGTTGTGTCAAATACAATAATAATAGTTATGACTACTATAGGAACAATATAACTAAAATAACTAAAATAGCATTCCAAAATAATGTAATAATAATAAATTTAAAAAGAACAACTCGTTGTTTTAGCAATATTTATATACTTGACATTTTTTAAGTCCAAAAAAGCCAAAAATAAAATGTATAAAACTTTTTTTTAATCTATAAATAAAATATATTTTAAACATGAGTCAAATGTGCTTCATTCTCTTATTATATATAAATAATTATAAATGTTTATTTATTATTATTTACATAGTATCCTTATATATAACTAATAATTATTTTTTCCTGTTTGTTTTATTCTTGGGAAATAAAATACAAACTTATTAGAATAAAAATTAATTAAAAATACTTTATAGCATCCAAATTTAATCTTTATCCATGGACAGCAGAGTGTAATTAATCATTAATAAATCAATATTTGGAGTTAATAGTGATGGATGGCTGTTGAGGGGAAGCTGGACTGGTTTCCAGTATGAACTGGCTGCAGGTCACTGGTTATAACCAGGCGACAGTCTGGAGCTCTGATAGCAAAGAACAACATGAAGTTTATTTAGTTCGTTCAGCTCCGGTTCCATAAAGCCTGATTTCATCTCCGTTACAATTCAGAGCAGCCGAGTTCCTTTAAATAAAGAGGAACCGTCCTGAGCAAGCATGTGGCGACAGTGGACAGGAAGCAGCTCCCAGCAGAGGCAGGCTCAGGTTGAGAGGACAGAAAGGAGGCAGGCGCTCTGAGCCAGGAGTTCTTTCCCTCAGGAAGTTAGAAACAGCCGCGGTGACTCTGAGTCTCAACCAATCAGCACATTTCATTCCTCAGACTGACAATCAGGGTGAAAAAGAAAGTACACCCCCTGTACATGCTGCATTTTTAGGTTTCTGAAATAAAACCCGTTAAGGAGAGACGGGGTGTACTTTCTTTTTGCAGTGACATGATCTCAGAGTGTGATTAGCGTGTTTCAGTCACTGAGTCCCTGTTAGCGTGTGAAAGCTGACCCGGTCCTCTGAATCGCCCCTCCAGCAGCCGCAGCAGCAGCGATGGCTCAGCTCGCCAGCCACGGACGGCTGCTCCTGCAGCGCCTGCATCAGCAGCGGGAGATGGACTTCCTGTGTGACATCACCATCATGGTGAAAGACGTGGAGTTCAGGGCTCACCGCAACATTCTGGCAGCCTTCAGCGATTATTTCTCTGTCCAGGCGGAAAAGGGCGAAGAGTTCACGACTCTGGACCCGGAGAAGGTCAGCCGCTACTCGCTGGAGAAGCTTCTGGAGTTTGTTTACACCGGGCAGATGAACCTGAGCAGGTAGGAGCCGAGTTCAGCCTGGAACGAAACAATAAAACGGAGCAAAACACATCAGACATCGCCACGGTACAGCTGGACAACAAACCAATAAGAATCTCAGGACAGACACCAGACCAATATCAACTAATAAAATATTCATTGAACTCTCATCCACAACCACATGGCATTCTGGGAGATGTAGGCTGAGGGAAGACTTTAGCTGCTCAACCTCTCACAGCCAGCTAGCAAAGCAATGTTGGTGGCATCAACTAACTCTCTCTCCTTGGTTTCCTAGCAACAACCTTTGAGTAACTTGCACAGAAAGATTAAATTTCAAAATGTGGATTTTTTTCCACCAATGCGCTCCTAGGGGTTTCCATAGAGTGATATCAGCACGGCGAGGGCGGCCATCTTGTTTTATAGCTTCTGAGTTCAGGTCAAGTCACAGAAGGCATGATTAAAATAGAAGCAGGTTTTTAAAGATATTTTCTGTCATTTGTATTTATTTGTAGAAAAAAAATAGATTACAATCAAATCAAATATGAAAAAATTTGATTTTTCATTTAACCTCTCAAAGCTTTTTCATACAAGATTAAAAATACACTAAAATATGCAACTAAACATATAATAAATGTCCTTTTTTAAATAAGAAAATAAAGATGTTATTGCTAAATGCAATAACAGAAATCCTTTAGTGAAGGTGAACCAGGTGAAGATAAAATAAATGGTCAACGTTCTTCTTCTGTGGTTTCAGCACCAGGCAGGCTGCTGTGCGCCGAGCCGCCGTCTTCCTGGGAATGTCGGAGGCCACTAAGTACCTGGAGAAAGTCCCCTGCTGGGCCGAGTCCGGCGAGACGTCCCAGTCGGACGCGGACAGAGAGGCGGAGCCGTGTCCGCCGAGTCCCAGCAGCCCGCCGTCCCCCGTCCCTCTGTCCATCGCCTCCGTGGTCGGGGACTTCAAGGAGGACGGCCTGGAAGGGAAGATCCACGACTTCGACCCGCGGGACGAGGACCTGGGCGACGACGTGGATTACACGCCCGCCACGCCGCGGAGCTTCGGCCGAGCGACAGGCAGGAAGAGAGGGAGGAGGCCCAAGAGCTTCAGCGGCGAGCCGCCCGAGCCGAGCAGCGGCGCCAAGATCCAGAGCTACAGAGGCAGGGGGCGGCCCAGAGGCAGCGGGCGCGGCCGAGGAAGAGGAGCCGCCAGAGAAGAAGATCTGTCCGCCGGCGAATCGGAGGGCAGCGTGAAGGACTTCGGCGAAACGCCGGCCGACTTTGGAGACACATCGGCCGACTGGAGCCCGTCCAGAGAAGAAGAGCTGCCAGTCAAGAAACCACGGCTGGGCAGCGAGACGAGGAGAGGGAGGGGCCGCGGGCGGGGCCGGGGGCGAGGGAGGGGGCGAGGCCGCGGGCGGGGCCGGAGGAAGATGGAGGAGGAGGACGACGATGAGGACGAGGAGAGCGGGGAGCTGGGAACTGAGGAAGAGCAGGAGACGGAGGGCGGGGAGCGGGACGGGTCGGAGCTGGGCGAGTCGCTGACCTGCAGCGAATGCAACAAGCTGTTCAAGGACATCAGCAGCCTGCGGCGCCACGAGAAGATCCACAAGGGCCTGAAGCCGTTCTCATGCATCTTCTGCTCCAAGACCTTCAGGCAGGCCACGCAGCTCAAGACGCACCTGCGCATCCACACAGGTGAGCAAGCACAGGAGAGAATAACAAGCAACAGAGAAAATACCACAGATTAGCAGCTACAAAACACAGAGAAACAGGAAAATACAGGAGAAAATAACAGGGGAAAATAAGAAGAAACGCAGGAGATAAATGCAAGAAAAAAGAGGAAAATCTGCAGGATAAACAGATAAAATACCTCTGAGGTATTCATTTTTCCCTGTTTGTCTCCAGGTGAGAAGCCGTTCACCTGCAGCAACTGTGACAAATGCTTCGCCCAGAAGTGCCAGCTGGTCGCTCACCGCCGGATGCACCATGGAGAGGAGAAACCGTACACCTGCGATCGCTGCGGCTTCAAGTTCGCCACGTCGTCCAACTACAAAATCCACATCAGGTTCTCATCCTGCTGCGTTAAACTGACTGAGCTGCAGAGGAAACAGCTGAATGTTCACTTCTTTAACGTCTGTTTCCCCGCAGACTGCACAGCGGAGAGAAACCGTACGTCTGCGACATCTGCGGCCAGGCGTTCGCTCAGTCCAGTACCCTGACCTACCACAAGAGGCGCCACACAGGAGAGAAGCCGTACCAGTGCGACCTGTGTGGCATGTCCTTCTCCGTGTCTTCCTCTCTGATCGCACACGCCAGGAAACACACAGGTGGAACTCGTTATTATTATTCAGACCCACCGAGGTGGGCGGAGCTAACACTGTTTTAATCTGTTCCTGTTTCTGTTTCAGGCGAAACTCCGTATAAATGTACGCAAACAAACTGTGACGCCAAATTTGCAACATCTTCTGAGCTGAAGAAGCACCTGAGGAGGCTTCACCCAGGTGAGTTCAGATTAGGATTATGTTCCACTAGCAATTTAATTTAAAAAAACTAAAATTGTGGCAACATGAGTGACCAGGATGCTCTGTACAGTCTGAGCACCAGGCAGCTGCAGAAGTGAAAGGAAGCACCAAAAAGTCACCTTATTTTTTGCAGAACTGTTTTACGTTTTGTCTGCTCTTATGCAAAGTAAATGTTAATGTTGGATTGTCATCATTTTTAAGATAAAATAATCAACGTTTTCAGAGATAAAGGGTTAAACCTGTAGAATATGTGAGTGTGATATATGTGAAATAATAAATTTGTAATTATTTGAGATGCGCTTGTATGATGATGCATTTCTGATCTTTTTTAACATGTCAAACATTTCAGATCAGGTGTCTAAAAGTTTCCCCCTCTGTGTGTGTGTGTGTGTGTGTGTGTATGTGTGTGTGTGTGTGTCCAGATGGGAACTCAGGCGTCCAGTGCCTGCTGTGTGGGAACCGCTTCGCCAGCGTGAAGAACATGATCAAACATCAGGAGAAGGCTCACGCCGACGAAGTGCGACAACACAAGGAGCGGGCGCGAGCCGGTGAGCCGATGGGCGGGGCCTAATTTAAATCTAGAACTGTGTTCTTCACAGTGGGGGCCACAAGGGGGCGCTGCAGAGCTTTAGAAGGTTGTAGAGAACATGAGAAAATAAGAAAAACATTTTGTTTTAAATTGTAAGTTTTATTGTTGGAAGACGGTTAGGGGCTGCAAAAAATCAGGTCATGGGCCACATATGGCCCCTACGCCACACTTTGAACACCCCTTTTCTAAATGGACATAATGCTTACTGAATAGTAAATCTAAAAAATGTAAAATTGAATGTGTCTTTATATATTTTGTAGCATTGTTTGTGGACAGAAGACTGTCCCGTTTGGGAACCTCTTCTTTAGACGGTAACCGTGGCGATTTTCTAGATAGTAACCATGGCGATTTGTTGTGTCTCTGCAGTCGTCCTGCTGGCCTCCAGCCATCCGGTGGCGTTCGTTCAGAGCAAACTCACACAGGACAACAAGAGTCTGGTTTCCATCCCGGAATCGGAGCCGAGCAACCCAGAACCTCCGACCCCGAACCCCAAAGCCTCAGAACCGTCCGCCACCGCCGGCACCGAAGACCCGCCCACAGAGCCCGCCGCCATCATCCAGGACTTCAAGACGGAGCCGGACCACCACGCGCTGAGCGCCGGCGCCGGCCAGCAGGTGACCTTCGAGGCCGACCCGGAGCAGACCATCAACTCGGACACGCTGCATGCGCTGGTGGAGCAGCTGCGGCCGGCGGCGTCGCCCGCCACGGGCCTGGAGCAGATCATCATTATCAAGACGGTGGACCCGGCCGAGGCGGCGCCACCACCGCCACAGTGAGCCCGGAGGCGGGCCGGACTCTGGACTACAATCTGACCCAACTTCACGTTTTCAGAACCGTTTCATTTCTAAAAACAACCAGAACCAGTTTAGATAACAGCTTCACCATTTAATAGTGTATTACCACATTGATGACCTCTGACCCCTCATTACATCCTATTTAAAGAATATTTTACTCCTGTTTTTTCTTTTGACTAATTTTTACTTCTTTATTATTTCTGATGAACATCTTTAAAGTTAGTTCTGCCATTAATTAGTTTGTAAAAACTTATTTTTTAGCTGATTTAGATTTTTCAGTTGGAGAGTAAATTAGCTTGATTAGTTTTGTTTTATGTTTATCATATTTTGGTGCATATAAAAGTAAAAAAAAAGTGAGTTTCCTGGTTGTTTGGCTTTAATCTGGTGAAACTACAGAACGACAGTTAAATGTGAAATAGTTTTGGAGTGAAACATAACAGCAGGTTTCCTCCTGAATGATGGCGTCATTAATTTGATGATTAAAGAGTAAAATGTGAGCATGACGTGAAAAAATGGCTTTTATTTCAGAGCCAGAGGATGAGAATCGAGTCCTGCTGGTGCCGGTCCGGTCTGCAGGTCAGAAAAGTCTGAATTAGTGCATCTATCAACTTCCTGATGATGCATCAGGACAGCAGATGGTTTTTGTACTCGATGCACTTCGATGCTTTATTGCAGGACTTCCTGGAAGGATTCACATATTTTTGAGCTTTTTTTCCTCCTTAAAACATAAAAATAAAATAATAAAAATAATTAAGACATAAGTTTTGCAGTTTTTTGCTTCGAGCTAAGTGTCCTAACTATGAACAGCTTCAGTTAAGTCCTGTAAACAGAATTTTTTTCCTCTGCTTATCTTCATCAACCTGAAACAATCAGTTATTTTACGGCTTTATTCTGGGTGGAATAATCAGTGTATAGAGAAATGTGCTGAATCTTTTCATTTTTTTCATGTTTTGTGTAGCAAGTAGGAGGCCAGAAAAAATTTTTATTTATCGTATCTACATCTGTTAGGAACGTATTTCTGTTTAGTTTAGTTGGAAAACTGCTGTACACAAAGCATTATCAGTAGGTCTTATTTTTGCAAAATGTCATCATTACTTGTACAGTTGTGAGAAATAACTACATGTTAGGCAATATATAAAAAAACAGAAAAAAATGAATAAAAGCGATGTGAAATAAAGCTAAAATCAGTGCATCAGTGTTGATTTGTTTTGATGGAAAGCGAAGAAATATTTATTTTTAGCATCAGCATTTAGCATTACTGCCAACATTATGTCAAAACTAAATACTACAGAAACATCAAACCAAAACCAGTTTGGTAACCAACAATTAACTTGAATAAATATGTTCAGAGGGGAAGACAAAAATGTTTCCTCTTATTCCAAGAGAGATGTTTTCCTCCACTGTCACCCTGTACTTGTTCAAGATAAAAATCTTCAGTGAACCTTTGATGCAGCTTTAATAAAACCTTTATGCTTTTGATTTCTCTAGAAACAAAATAGATTAATTCTGAACTTAACTACACATTAAAACAGGTTACATTTTTGTTTTCATTTTTTAAAATAAGGTTCCAAACGGTATCAGATTAATAATACAAGGTAAAACGTTAAAACTTGCCAGTGGCGGGAAAAACAGTTGACGCAGCACGTGACGCATCGTGTGACGCAACTCTACATTGTTGCCATAACAATGGCGTTTCTGGCCACCGTAATGGCCGCTGAGCCTATAGCCGACTGTTACAAAGCTATTTGTGAAAATGAAAAGATTGCTATAAACCCGTTTGTTTTAGAAAACTTAGAGAGAACAACGACGACCAGGTGAGAGTTTGACTCTGGGTTAAAAGTGGCTGAAATGTAAAGTTTAATGAGACGAGACATTAGCTTCTGGAGCTAATGCTTAGTATTTGGTAAAGAAAAACTAATCAGAGCCGAACTGACTTATTTTCTTTACTTTCAATTTTCTTGCATCCTTCCTTTATTATTATTTTTTTTCCTTATGTCCTACCTTTTTGTACTTTCTTACTCACAATAACTGGTGATATATTTCTGGTAATTTTCCTAATTATATAATTAAAGTTATATTCAGAGTTTATCAATAAGTATAATGTTGCACAAAATATCAATGTAATGTAACAACAAAATACATAAAAGTATTGACTTTCAAATAAAAGTAAGCAAAACTATCAGTATTATGAGCAACAACCCTTTGAATTATTAAAGTTGATGTATGTAAATATTATAAAAACATTTTTAACATATTTGATTAAACTATTATTATGTTGTGACAGCATAATATAAGAGATAATCTGAAAAAATCGAAAACAACCAATCAGAGCCAGGAGGCGGGTCTTAGTGCTGTCAGTCGCTCTTCCTGTGGATGCTCACACCCTCCTCTCCCTTCCACTTGCTCTCCTCTACACTGCAGCTAGCATAGCATATTGCGAATGCTCAGCCTAGTTAGCATAGCCACCGATTTATTGTGAGTGGGGGCCATTTGAAAGGTGAATATTAATATTAATAATTAGTGAAGATAACTCCGTAAATGTGGAGCTTTTATTGTGAAAACTGCTCCAGTTGTTTCCTGTGTTGCAGGAATTTCACCTTGAATCTAGCAGGAAACAGGAAGCAGAAAGGCTTCCAGAGACTTACTGACAGTGACATCCTCGTTCTATCAAAATGTCTCCAGAACTATCAGACCCTTACAGGTGAGCTGCCAGGTCCGGATCAACAGAACCAGAACCCGCCGTGTTTTTCACCGGTTTTCGTCTGAACAGGTCTGGATCTGGGGTACAACAACATCAGTGATGAAGGAGCTGCTTACTTGGCCATGCTTCTAGAGGTGAGGAAGAGGAGAGGCCTGCTGAGGCGATGGAGTGAAGTCTGTTACGGTCGTCATGCGTGTTGTTGTCATGCGTGTTGTCGTTGTCATGCGTGTTGTCGTTGTCATGTCTGTTGCTGCGCAGGCGCAGGACACGACGCTGCGCTCTCTGGACCTCACCTTCAACAACATTCAGACACATGGAGCCGAGCTTCTCGCCAGCAGCCTGCAGGTTGGTCAGATAAACATCTGTTGCTGATCTTCTCCTCCAGGTGGAGAATTGGTGACACTGCAGTTGAGAGCAGGAAGTGATTGTTTCCGGCCTTTATAGTAAACAGGAAGGGATCGTCTCCTGTGGGAATAGTAAACAGGAAGTGATCATCTCCTGTGGGAATAGTAAACAGGAAGTGATTGTCTCCTGTGGGAATATTAAACAGGAAGTGATTGTCTCCTGTGGGGATAGTAAACAGGAAGTGATCGTCTCCTGTGGGGATAGTAAACAGGAAGTGATCATCTCCTGTGGGAATAGTAAACAGGAAGTGACCGTCTCCTGTGGGGATAGTAAACAGGAAGTGATTGTTTCCGTGGGGATAGTAAACAGGAAGTGACCGTCTTTCTCCATCCCTGCAGGGTAACAGCAGCTTGCTCTCTCTCAGGCTGTCGGGGAATAAGATTGGTAGAAATGGAGGCCTGGACTTCGCCGGCATGCTGCGGGTGAACATGACGCTGCAGGAGCTGGAGCTGGGCGAGTGCGACCTGGTAGCCTCCCCTGGATCAGAACCTCCTGGTACCGTGAGCGGTTCTTCCTCTGACCCTGCCTCTGTCCCTGCAGGAAATGCATGGCATGATCGGCCTCAGCACCGCTCTGAAGAACAACACCACCCTCCGGTCTGTGGACGTGAGCCGGGCGCTGCTCTTCAGCCTCTTGGTAGGAACTTCCCCAGCAGCAGGTTCTGGTTCCAGTTCTGATCTGAACGCTGTGTGGTTCTGTCTCAGGAAGAGTGGGCCGTTCACTTCTCGAAGATGCTTCCGGTGAACAGCAGCCTGGTGGAGCTCCATCTGGGGAAGATGGGCCTGACGGATACGGGCATGGAGAGGCTTTCTGAAGGCCTGAAGCTGAACCACAGACTGCGGTACCTGGACCTGCGCTGGTACAAACCCAGTTCTCATGTCTTCACACATTGACGGGTCTTCTTCATCAGTTCTCCAGACTTCCTGAAGGTTCTGACTGTTTTTCCACCAATTCTCAGTCTGTTTATCGGACAGAACAGGTTTGGTAAGACGGGTCCATCAGACTTTGACTCATTCTGTCTTAAAAAGAAGAAGAAAGGAAGCCAATGTTCATAGAAAATCAGCAAGGAAGTCTAGAAACTAATTATCAAGATTACTAACAGAAAACCCTCTAAGCTCGGTAGTGGAGATGTTAGGTCAGTCGACCAGCGACCCGCCATGTTTTTGTGTTAATAAATGTTCAAATTTACAAGATCCACCAGCCATTGCAGTTGGTGGGCATCTCCTTGGCCCAGTTCAATGTGTCAGCTATAAACCTGGCTGAATCCATCTTTACTGTTTCTGGTGTATAAAAAACAGTGCTTAGCCTGGTGGGGGGAAGTAAAGCCTGGAGGCCCGCCAGGCTAATGATACAAACCCTGACTGAGCATCTGGCTTCCTGGATGCAAAATGAAACCTTTCATCTGCAGCAACCGTGTGAGCCGGGATGGCGCCCTGCATCTCTCCAAAGTCCTGAAAGGAAACTCCCCTCTGGAGGTCATCGACCTGTCGTCCAATCGGATCGAAGACCCCGGCGCTGAGTACCTGAGCGAAGCCATCTGTTGTGAGGGCTCCGTCCTCAGAGAGTGAGTCAGTTTAGTTTGGTTTCTTCCTGTGGTCTCTGAGGAGCTGGCAGGCCGACTGGAGGCTCTGAGTTTGTGTTTTCCAGGCTTTCTGTCTGCAGAAACAACATCAGTACCAGCGGCCTGCTGTCCTTGGCCGGGGCTCTGACCAACAGCCCAACTCTGACCCACATCTACATCTGGGGAAACCACCTGGAGGAGCCGGTCTGCCAGGTAAACCTCCGTTATTCAGCAAACATCCTCGTTTTTCACACTCATTTAATATTTCACCCTCAGAAATCTGAGACAGAAGGACTCATTTTCAGAGGTCATGAAATGGATAAATTATGGAATAATTAAATAAATCAACTGAAATGGAACAAATCAAGGATAGGAGCTAAATATTAATAGCACTTTAAATCAATAAGACTGTTAATAAAGACCTGATATTAAAGTTAAGGCTTTTTTGTTGCCTATTCTAAGGAGTTTGCTAACAAAAGGCGGTTCTTTTATACACGAGGTGAACAGAACTGGACCTAGAACTCAACCCTGGGGAACATTTGTGGTCTTCTGCTGCAATCCACCATCAGAGGAAGCTTTTAAAACAACTGGCCACTATTTTTATCAGAGCCTGAAGGGTTTTCAGGTGTAAAAAAGGTTTTATTTGGTTGTTTTTGTCATATAAACTTAAGGTGGAAGCAGCAATAATCCAGATCTGGAATCGTAGTTGAAAATGACTGTTTATTAAAGTGTTTAACTGTTAATTTATAGGTTATTGAAGTGTTTTTGCGTCGGTAACTCCAGCTGCTCCGTCCCTCAGGCCTTCAAGGAGCTGCTCAACACCGGCCGCCTGACGCCTGAGCAGACCGACGTCAGGCCCTACGAGGTGGACGGCCATGTTTTCCTCGCCGAGCTCTTCCATCATTTGAGGAAACACCTTTTCTTTACAGACGTTAACGAGCAGAACGCAGGTTCAGACTCCCCACAGCAGTGACGCCGTTTATGATCAAACACCAGGAAACGGTTTCATCAGAGGTGGAAATGGGATCATATTTACATCTAAATATGAAAGAATGAAATAAAAGTCGAGAGTTAAAGTTAAATAAATGTGAATTTATTTTCTTGTGCAACATGTGAGAATAACTGTTGATTTTAAGCCTCCAACAGTCAGAAGCTGAAATGTTTGGACCTCAGGAATCAGGTAAGAGAGAAATGTCCTTGTTTGTTTCTGATCTGTTGAAATCTAAGTGACCTTTGACCTCCTCCCTACTCCTCAGCCTGACTCTCCTCCTGGCTGCTGGTCTTCCAGTCCGACCCGTCCGGGTCCCAGTCCAGCCGGATGTTCCGGTTCTTCACGCTGAAGCGCAGCTGCTGCTCTTCTTGCGGCCCGGCGGTCCAGCGCTGCATGGCCAGCCGGGCCAGCGCCGGCATCCGAGGCAGAGCCCCGAGCAGCGTGGGCAGCCAGGCCGAGCAGGGAGCCGAGGTCAAAGGTCGGAGGCTGAGGTCGGCCTCCTCCAGCGAGCCCAGGCCGCCCGCCGCGAACAGCGCCGCCCAGCCGGCGTCCCCGACCGAACCGTTGTAAGACAAGTCCAGGACCCGGAGGGAGGACACGCAGCCACGTCTGCACACGTCAGCTGCTCCGGGACAGTAAAGGTTAATCATTCAGAGCACACGCTACAACCTGGCAGCTGACAGCCGCCATCTTGGCAAGTACTATAACTGTCATGACAGTTGCTATGACAACAACAAACAAGCCATGAGCTCAGGAGCAGCTCTAAGTTATACATTACAGCTATTACTCTGTATACCTCTGTAACACTAACAAATAGCAGTGATATTTACTGCAGTACTTCCTGTTGAGCTAGCAAAATTAGCTTTGCTAATGTAGCTTTTATCTGCTAGCTAAGACGGACATGTAGCCTGCATGTTCCTGCATGAAGTTTGTTTACACGAAGAGTTTGTACGTCCTTTCCAAAACCGCTGATCATTTGTTCAGGCCGTGAAGCTCCTCCATGGTGGACGCGCTGTTTGTGTTCACTACGCCGTGAATCATAATGAATATAAGAGATCTGAGGTATTTTCTACAATCTGTCTCATTCTGGTAGATCCCGACAGCAGCGCCACTGAACCTCCATCTTGGTAGCCAAGAAGAACCATGGCGTCCAGACCAACTAAAACAAAGCACAGCACTCAAAAACTGTAATCAAGCTATAGCTGTACTGTACTTATATTGTTTATAAATTAGATAGGAACAAGGCGAGAGGTAGTTGTAAGCTCTTGGTTTGTGTACTGTTGTCATAGCAACTCCATAGAAACTGTTATGAATGCCTGCCAAGATGGCTGTCAGCTACAAACTTCCTGAAAGTGTGACATTACATGAGAATTATGTATAAACTTATATTATTACATTAAAAATAACCCAAAATATAAATAATGTGTCAAAGTAAAAGCAGTTTTCACCTGAATGACGGTCAGTTCAGGTTTAATTTAAAACTAAATCACTGTTGGTTACCTAGGTGACGCAGGTCGTCGGTGGTGAGGCCGCAGCTGCTGAGGCGGAGCTCCAGGACCACGGACGGCTGCAGAGCGTCCATCAGCAGCGGCAGGCGACCGCCCACCACCTTACACCAGGAAACATCCAGGCTGCGCAGGTACGGCGCCACCAGGGCTGGGGAACAAAACATCCAGGCTCTCAGCTTATTCAGCTTTTACTTTTCAAACATGAAAAGTAAAAACAATAATTTGTTTGGGGACACTTTTTGAGTTCTTCAGTTTGTGGAGGAAATTTGTAATTCATGACTTTCTGCTTCACTGGGGTTTCAGTATGGAGCCAGTTAGAGGCCCACTTTTCTAAACTAATAAAAAATGGGAAAGACAGGCGACCATAGAAATTCATTACGATGCAGAGGAGTCCCCAAAAAATTCCCATAGTGTGGCCTGGCTGGGAAAAAAACTGATGACTGTGTCTGAATGTGTTTGAACTTAACATGCAGCATTTTCCAGAAGGAAGCAAACGTTACTAAAGTCATGGATGAGTTTCTGTAGATCTTAGTGGGTCATTTAATCCTGGAGATGCTCTTCAGGTGATTGAAGGCCGGCTTTGGAACTGTCTTTATGCGACTCTGAAGGTTACACTTATGCTAATCTGCTAGTAGTGTAGCTAACTTTTAGCTTAGCACTTTTGCTAATTTTGAAAACATTTAGCACACCTACTTTCCCCTAATTATTTTTGTCTGGACAAATTCTGAAGCACTAATTTTCTTGGCTGTTCAGGTGAATAAAGTTAAAGATCTTTGTGCATTAGCTGCCACTAAATACTGTTATAGTGCAGCTAACATTTGGCTAGCGGTGCCGACCCCTGGCTGACCCCTGGGCTCATCTCCTCCAGCTGCAGACGCCTGTCGGTGTTTACCCAGGGCGGTGAAGGACTCCTCCGTCAGCCTGCAGCTGCTCATCGGCAGCCTCCTCATCTGAGTCAGCGGCAGCACCGACACCAGCTGGTGGACCGCGCCTCCCGCCTCCTTATTGGACGAAACGTCGAGCGCCGTCAGCGCCGTCAGAGAGGGCAGCACCTGGACTGGAGAGAGGCAGGAGGTGAAGCCTGCAGCGGCTGCTGGCGGTGGCGGTCACAGAGACTCACTCAGAGCCTCCAGGTCGGCACGTCTGAGGCGGCACAGGTGGAGGTCCAGGCTCTCCAGGTGAGCCATGTGAGGCAGGTGAGAGGCGAGTCGGCTCAGGCCTCCAGCCACACTTCTGTTGCAGGACAGGTCCAGCTGGCGCACCGAGGGCAGGCAGCGCAGGGAAGCACCTGCAGCCACAGGTGAAACTGTAACATTTACTATTTACATTTAGTTTAGTAACTGGAAAAAACATACTTTTAGGAGTATTTTTATTTTTACTTTGAGTAATTGTATTATGAAGTAGAAGTACTGCTACTCCTGAGTAAAATTTCTGGATATTTTACCCAGAACTTTTTACTTTACTGAATGAAGAACAAATTGTTTTAATCAAAAATTCACCAAACACACCTACAGTTTTTGATAAAAATTCATAATTTTTATATTGAAAGAAACTGATTTGGAAAAATATTTTTTGACTGATTGTGTTATTAATATAAGTTGTTTTCATTTTGGTCTTTAAAGAACCAAAATTTCCATGTAACGTTTATATGTGCAATTTGTCTGATGATATTATATGATTTATGTTTTGATCAAATTAAAAAATACTTTATTGATTGTAACTCATTAATTCAAAGCGTTATTGTAGGTGTTGAAGGCTGTGGGCAGGAGAGATCTCCTGTAGCAGTCTGTATTACAGCAGGTTTGAAGAAGCCTCTGACTAAAGACACTCAGTACTTCAGTAGTAATTTTACTTTTTTATTCTTACTAGACTCATTTCTTGGTTGGTTATTTTTTACTTTTACATAAGTAAAGATAAGTTGAAGTACTTCTACTTTTACCTGAGTGCAGTTTTTTGCTACTTTACCAGCTCTGCCTGCAGGACGCATCAGGATTTGTTTTCTACTGAAAATGAATTCTAATAAGAAAGTAATAAAATGTTTAAACCAATCAGAAATCTGAGGTTTTGTTCCCACCAAGAGCCTCGAGGTCGTCAGGTTTTAGCCCGCAGGCCTGCAGCCGCAGCACGATCAGGGAGACGGCGTGGGACAGGGAGGCGGCCAGCTGCCCGAAGCCGCCAGCATCCACTTCCTGTGTGAGCTGAGGGTTACAGGAAACGTCCAACACACAGAGTTTAGGCAGAACGGCCACCAGGCCTCCTGAAGGGGAACGCAGACCGAGATGAGCCACCAAGCAGAAAGACATCAGCTGGACCAATGAGGACATGATTACCCAGAGCAGCAGCGTCCGCCGCAGTGAGCTGACAGGCCACCAGGTGGAGCTCCCTCACTGATGGCTGAAGTTTACCCAGCAGGCTTTGCAAAGTGCCGCCAACACTGCTGTTCCAGGACAGATCGAGGATCTCCAAGACAGGAGCAGAAGGGAGGGCTTCGCCTTCATACGCACAGAGGAAGAACTTTATTTAGGGGTTTCACAGTAAAAGGGGGCTGAATATAAGGGCCTGACACACTTTTCAGTTTTCTATTTGTGAAAAGTGTTAAATTATGCATTACTTTCCTCCTACTTCACAGTTACTGTGTTCACGGGTCATAAAGAATCTCTGAAATCAGCTGAAACTTATAGAAAGTTTAAAGGTGTCAAACTCGAGGCCCGGGGGCCAAATTCAGCCCGCTACAGCTTATTATGTGGCCCTCTAAACTTTAGCAGTACGCATAAATAGGACAGTTGTGCACTTAAATATTATTTTATTTAAATGTACAACCAAATTACATCAACATGAAAAGATGATCAATGTTATTTTCAGAAGAATGCAGAAATGACGATTTATTAATATCTTAAGAGTTTTTTAAACGTGTTTCATCAATACATTCTGGCACAAACGACACTTTGAGAACATTCGATCACGATGTGGCCAAAAAGGAAAATGACACGTTGAGTGTAGAAAGACTTTTCCAGATCAGATCTGGAGAAAATAAACCTTAAGCTACTATCAGCGTCAGGACTGGACGGTTCTGGTCGTAACCGAAGTCTCACCCAGAGCGGCGACATCGTCCGCGTTCAGCCTGCAGCTGCAGAGCTTCAGCGTCCTGATCCCACCCACATGTTGGAGGTGAGAGGTCAACGTGGTCAGACTGCCACCAATCAGTTCGTTCCAAGAGACATCCATCTCCTCCAGCTGAGGGAGGAACTGGAGCAGCGATGCTAAAAGGACAAACACACAGTCAGCAATGGCGTTTATTTAAATACAAGCAGCTAATGTTTAGCTTTACTTTGTGTCTTTTGGAAGGTTTTAAACTTCATAGATAAAGAATCATTATTCTCCAAACTAAAAAACATTCTATTTTCCACTGCAGGTATGATACTAGCTGCATGAAACTACTCCATATGAACAAAGCAAAGAGATTCCTGCAAGTCCAGATAAATCGCATCTGTCTATGGTTGAAACCTGGATCTGATCTGATCAGGTTTTGGTTTGTTTTTAAACACTGAAGGGTTTTTGAGGCTGCTGGTGATAAAAAATGATCCTTTTAGCACCGGAGGAGTCAAACGTCTCGTTATCTCATAAAATCAGCTTCAGAAACGCTCAGAGCTCTGTGGTGCTGTGATCTCAGGGAGTGAATACCGAGCTCCAGCAGGTCTGTAGCCGTCAGATCGCAGTGAGCCAGACTCAGACTCCTACTGTCTGCTTTCTTCCCCAACCTCTGCAGGAAAACACAGACTCTTCCCCAGCCGGCATCGCGCTGGCTCTCCACCGGCGCCGCAGGGCCTGGAAAAAACAAAAACAGCTGCAGCCTCATTTTACCTCCTGTAACTAATACAGTCTGATTTAGAGCAGCTTCTGAGGGTAATGGAAGGAGAATTACAAGTATTACAGAAACGGTGTGACAAAAGTAAATTATCACTAAATAATGCAAAAGCAAAATTTTTAATATTTAGCAAGAAGTAAATAAACTGATGATAAACAGCATACAAACAGAAATCAGACTTTTGGGGTAATAGTCTTCAAACCGATTATTTTCATCTAATTAATGAAATATTTCTGACATTTTAAAGTTTTATGATTTAGTCGACCTCAAAGCCTGTAATAAACTCCTTCCAAGGTTTTTACAAAAGTGGTTTGAAATTAAACTGCATTAAGATATTTTCATTTAAAGAACTAAAGGTCAAAATTAAAAAGTTATTTCAGTTAGATGGATTCAGATGGGAGGAGTTAAAATTTAGTCACTCTTAAGTAAAATAATTTAAAATATTATTTGCTAAACAAATACAAAAAGGTTTTATTAGTTTGACAACAGACTCAGCTGAAATTTATTGATATGTTTCAGAAAAATATACAGGAAATATTCTGCTGCTTTGATGTTTATGATGCTTTATGTTGAACAAAGTTAAACGCTTAATAAACTTCTACCTGCACTTTTTCACTTTGTGTTAATGTAATTGACAGGAATTTAAATTTTGTTTCTATTGTTTCTCTTTGTCAATTAATAGAGATTCTTTAAAAACTAAATCTGTGATCTTTGGGTCATTTCGATGCGTTAAAACCAGTTTCTCTTTCAGAGGACAGAGTCTCACCTGGACTCTGTCCTCTGTTCTCGGACTCTGCGTCCTCAGGGATCGCCGTCCGCTCTGAGGTTCGCGACAGGAAGCGGCCCAGTGGCTTCCTGTCGGATCCTGAGCGCTTCCTGCGGATCTGACTCATGATGACGTCGAGGGGGGATCGTCTCTGGCCGCCTCCGTCTCGTCCCCGCTGAGCCTCTGGGCAAAGGTAGCATCACTCATATGGGGAAATAATTCTTCATAAAACTTAAAACATGGCCCCAAATACAAAATATGTTACATAAAAGGCAAATATTCTGTCGTCTTCTACAAAATGTAACAATAAACATCTAAATAACTCAGAAAAAACTCAACACGATGTGCAGATTATGAGTCAAAGCACAATAACCATCCTTACAGTCAAGCACAGAGGTGGAAGCATTATGCTGTGGGGTGTTTTTTTTTTTTATTTACAACAAAATGTGTCACTATTGGTTATTCCATCCTGACAAAGACCCAAAACAACCGAATGTGTCTGCAAACCTGGCAACCAATCAGAGCTCACCTACTTTCTCTACCAACATGGCATCCTCCAATAAAAATGAAAACAATAAATAACTTATAAATATGTTAAATATTCTGCCACTTTTAGGAAGAAAATACTATCAAATCCAAATATTTTACCTCTTTTTACATATTAATGAGCATTTAGAATAAAATAACTTGGTTACTTTGAGGAATGAATGACATTTTAACAATAAACCTAAAGTATATTTTCAGCTCACAGATTAAACAGAATTTTTAAGTTTATTTAGAAATAAAAGGATGAAAATGCAGAAAACTGATAAAAATCCGTGTTAGGTTTCAGCAGATCCTCTTACCTGCAGCCTCCATGTCAGTTTCAAGTCGGAATAGTTTAAAAATAAAGATTTAACTCTGCCGGAGGTTCGGTTCGGTTCGGTCCCGCGGTTCGTTTGGACTCACATGAAAACATAAATGACCCAGAAAAAGTCGAATGAAGTCTGGATTTCATTTAGTAAAAGGTTCGTTGACAACATTTAAGCCTTTTTAAAATCTCCTCTTCTCCTCGGCGGAGGCACACCTGTCACCTGCGCGACGTCACGCCTCGTGCTCGTCAGGTGGATCAATCCGGAAGTGCGGCAACTCCTTCTG